CATTGATGAAACCGTTTTGGGGATGGCTATTGATAGGCTCTGCAGCATGTTCAGATGTGCTACAGTATATCTAATTTCTCTGCCCACTCAACAAATGTATCCTGTACCCAACTTGCAGGCAAGGAGGAGCTTCATTTAGAAGACGAGCATTAATAGAGCAACATTTCTCATCCTTCAATTCAATCATTGTCAGCCATATTTTTGTTTAAACTAATATAAACGATCTCAGGACATTCGAAATGTTGTGTCAAGAAATAAATATATGTTCCATTAAGTCTGTCCCCCCCATCTAGGCTGATAAAGCCCCTAACTGACTTTACAAAGAATAATTCACATGTATTCCCTACTTAAATTGATTCCGGTAATAATTCTCAATAAATAATCCACATATGCCCCCTTCGGTTTTTCATCTTAATTTGGAATATTCTTTTCCAAACTTCTCATTGGAAAATGGCACTTGTCTTGAACTATTTAAGTAACAGGTTCATATTTTATGTGGCATCACGCGGGAACGTGCCCAGTGTAAAGGCGGAGCTAGAAGGGCAACGCCTCGTCTTTGTAGTCACAGCTGTCCCGGCTTCTAGAGGATGAGCCACAGCTGTGCAGGTCCTATAAAGGCACACTGGACACCCCCCGAAGGGCCGAGCAGGACCACACCTGGAAGGGGGAGTTGCTGACACGGACAGTCCCGGAGGGGATTGCACGTGCTTAAAGGCAGGACCTTTTTGTCTGTCCCCTTACGTATTCTCGCCACGGCAGGTCCACCTTTTTACACCCAATAAGGTTTTGTTTTGTTTTGCCTTACGCACTCTGCTCTACCAGACTGGACCTCACTAATAGTAAGGTCTGGACCTCAATAATGGTAAGTCCAGTTTGGTCACCGCTGTGCTAGTGGTTCTTCATTTTCCCAGGCTGGAACCCGTTAAATAAGGTAACCCCAGCCTTGAGGTCGCGATGCACAACACCTTACTTTTTGCCTTTTTGTTTCATTTTCACTTTTTTATATATTTATGGTCCCTGCTAACCTCACATCGATGCTTCTGTCCCTCAGTTAGGAGTGTTGTCTTTTTACCGGTGCTCGCTGCGGTTCCTCCAACTCCCGCACGGTCACATTTATTATGATAATTGGATGTGAACTATTCACCACAGAATACTACTACTAATAATAAATCCAGCTTTACTGTACATTATTTCACCTTTTGCCTTTTGTTATGTCCAAGAGTTTGTTTTTCTTCACAGCCACTGTAACCATACATTGAATTAGAACTGCACACTAGATATTTGAGAATAATTATATTGTATTGTCAACAAACAACTAAATCGTTCAGACAAAACACAAACTGGCCTGTCAAATTCGCCAAATGAAGTTTCTGATATATGCTTCCACATTTTAATGGTGCACCAAACAATTTTTTCATTTTTTGATTGTTACTCCAGCATAACCAAACTTTTTTCTTCATTTTCAATGACGTTTTAAGGTTTGACAGAAACCCAATTAGTTTTAAAGTCTCAAGTCTTCATTCATGAGCAATTGCTTGTGTAATCATAGCCAAAATGTAATGTAGTGGCTCTCTGAAGGCACCAGTTCTGTAGGGTTTGGGCATTTACTGAGACAATTATTAATTGTAACAGTAAATCACAAAGTTGATTCTTTTGATGGCTTTAGAATCCAACCATGCGACATAACTCAAACTACGCACACACACAGGTACTAATACACGAGGAT